CCCCCTCCTTCTCCCTCCTTGTCTCCTTCACCATGCTTTGCCTAAACTGCATCATGACCATGGGAAATGGAAAGCTTTTTCCCACTGCCCTGTTGAGGGAGATGGAGATGGGGAGAGAGAAAGCTTTCAATCTTTTTTGTTAATTGATAAATTGCATCAGCACTTCCATGGGACTTTAAAAAAAAACTTTGCTTCCTCTTTGTACCCCTCCACAGAGCAGTAGGAAGATGATTTCAATTTCCTGAGTCTGCCAAGTGGCTTATGCAAAGGGACAGCTTAAGCCATCTATTTTGTTTCAGTCCCAGTGATCACACGTGCTGCAACTGCACCAAAAAGGAGTGATCCTACCTACAGCTTCTCACAAGGAGGAGCCTCTGGCAGGGACCGGGTACGCAAAGATTCACAATGGCCTATATATCATGCTGAGAAAAAGACTGGACCAATCTGTCCCCAGAGTGAACCATATATATCAGGACTGTCTGATCACACCCAGGGTCTCTAGTTTAACCCCAGTGTCTCCTGGTAATGATAGCAGCAACTTCTTCAGCCAGCTCTCATATGCTCTTCAGCATGCTCTTCCTGAATAAGAAATTTGAAGAAAATCCCCATGCCTTCAGAAAGAGACAAAAAATTCTCAAAGCCACAGATTTTGTCAATATTTGAACTGAGGCAAAGCTATATGTTGGGTATGGTGAGAAATGTACTAATATCATTAGTGGCTGATCAGGTAATTTCAGAGAAGAAATATTTGCGACGAAGAGCAGAGATTTCAGTTGGACTTCAGTCTATTTCTTTATATTGAAGGTCCATATCTGTCTAGACAATGGGAAACACTAAATCAGTGTAACACTGCATTGGCTTTTGCACGCATGACGACTCAAATTATTTCTCAGAGTCCAAAAAATACATAGCCTGTTTCAGGCTTTTTTCATGACATTCTCTATGCTTCTTTATTCTTGGAAAAAACCCTCTTGCAGACATCATTTGGAACAGATGTTTCACTACTTTTTTTCTAGTGTGTGGTGGCAAATTGCTTTGCTCTCCTAGCAGTGGATGTGGCTTCAACATGACATGAAAATAATGCTATTAGGAATGTCCTCCTGCTTTCTTGGACCTTCTTTTTTTGTCAGCCTTTGTAATCCAATTGCCAGTAGCCTTCAGGGAAGCATGCTGTAGCTGCAAATGGCTGTCCTAGCAGTGGATGTGGCTTCTAAGGAACATGAAAATAATGCTATTAGGAATGTCCTCCTGCTTTCTTGGACCTTCTTTTTTTGTCAGCCTTTGTAATCCAATTGCCAGTAGCCTTCAGGGAAGCATGCTGTAGCTGCAAAAGAAATGGCTGTTTGGAATGGTAACCTCTTCATGTCCAATTTTAAAATAAACTTTTTGGTGACCAAATGGTCCAGTGGACACCGCCAATATCCGCCAAGAAGCATGTATAACTCTGGTTCTGTTACCACAAACCTGCATGGATTTATTTGCTATGCAGTGGTGCCTTGCTAGACGACTACCTCGCAAAACAGTTAATTCGCAAGACGATGGGTTTTTGTGATCGCTGTAGTGCTTCACAAAACTGTTTACCCTATGGGCGATTTTCGCTAGACAATGCTTCAGTCCGTGCTTCGCAAGACAGGTTTTTTTTGGGGGGGGGGTTGGTTTCACTTGATGATGATTATGACAGCTGGGTCCGCACTTCACAAAACGTTATTTTTAGGCAAGTTTTTTCGCAAGACCGATTTTGACAGGTGGGTGTGCGCTCTGCAAAACGGTTTTCCTATGGGCGATTTTTGCAAGACAACGATTTTTTCCACATTGGAACGCATTAAATAGATTTCAGTGCATTCCAATGGGGAACCGCATTTCGCAAGACAATGTTTTCACAAGACAGCGATTTTTGCAGAACAAATTAACATTGTCTTGCGAGGCATCACTGTATCTAGCTATTTGCATGTTGACATTTAAAAAAAAAACTTTAGTGGCGCAATAGATTAGTGTTGCTTTAACAAGTTGAAGTCTACACAAGCTGTGAAAATAATGGCTTCTCCCTGCCAAGAGGCGGTATTAATCATTAATGAAAAAAAATTTCCATTGTATGAAGAGAAATTATCCACAACTGAATCCTCCACTAAAGTTCTTTAAATTTGGAGATGAAGAAGATTTAAGATACAAACAATATCCAGCTAGAAAGGAGTTACTAATTATAGGTTCATGGTAGAATTAACTTTTTCTTTTCCCTCCTGTAATCTGCGTTCCAAACATTTTTCTTCTTTTTTATTCATTATCCAATTCAGTGATACTCCACTTCCAAAGAGAGTGTGAAAATAAAATAAAAAGAGTCCTGTTTTTTTCAAAGAACTAAACAAAGAACATTGTTTGACTTTCCAGTATGTTTTAGACTGCAGAGCTGTGACTTTTATACTTTTGAAAACAAGACCCATTGTAGGTGTTGTGCGGTTTCTCATCCCAAAAGTCCCATGGAAAAGCACATGTTTGTGTCTGAAAGATCAAACCTAAATGCCAGACAACACCTCCCAAACATCTTTCTGAGCTTCGGTTAGCCTGATCTAAGGGAGAATAATTTCCTTGAGTTTTCAAGTAACCGGGAGATAACTCAATTAAAATTTTTGAACTAGGCATTAAGTTTACTGGTGCTTGGTTTTTCTTCCCTTTCGCACTGACGGAAGACCTAAGAAGCAACACTGATTGTGCCAAAGTGACGAACCGATTTACCCCCTGTAACCTCCAGTAGTCCTCCTCCACCTCATTTTTTGGCTGAAGATTGCAGAATTTGAAACAAAGGCTAGAGACAGAAACCTTCACTTCTGCCTTTTTAGCAATTTGCCATCCAGGGGATGGTACAGAAGAAGGAGGAAGTCCTATAAACTACAAACAAGGGCTTGGCTGTAGTACACACAGGAAATCTTTTTGTGAATGAGAAAAATGACTCAGAATTTGTCTTTTGAGCAAGGGTTGGGTGGGATAAACGTTGTTAGAGGTTTTTGATCCCTCCCCACCCCCCTGCAAGGGAGGCATAGTATAGCCTAATGCAGCACTTTACATAGCAAAGTCAGTTTCTTGGAAAAAAAATTGAAAAAAGTCCAGCAGTACAATCTAATGAACATCTATCTGTTCAGAAGACAGTCTTGCTCATTGCTTGCTAAATTCAGTGGTGTGTAGGTATAGGGGTATAGGATTGGGGTTCAGATTATTACTGCTCTCAGCTTTCTTCCTTCTGCACAGTATATCTAGAGAAATATGCATGTAATCAAAAATCAAATATGTTTACACAAAAATGAATAAATAAAATATATGGAGAAAAGATGGACCATACGATTTAACAAATAAACTAATAAACCTACTCATAGAGGAAATCTGCATTGGTCTGTGCGGTTGAGCAACTGCAACCTATGAATGCTTTCCTCGCTCTTTAAGTATAATTAAATGTTGAAATTTATGCCTTAGTACACATGCAGAATTTTAAATGGATGAAAAGAAACTTGATAGCTGTAATTCTTTAAGTAATGTTACAGGGTACATTTAAAAGACTTTATACTAGCAGATAATAAGGGTTGTTGGGAACGAGGTAACGGTTTTCTTTGAATCAAGATGGTGGCTGTAGCAGGCCACTCTGAAGCCTCTACCCATCCAGGCCTATAAGAGTGCCCACTACTTCTCTTCAAAAACTTGCTGCCACCAAACTATCCTTTAAATCAAAAGGACAAGGGTTTCTTTCAAACAAATAAAAGATTTATTGATTACACAAAATAAAAAGGGTGAATCACTGTTATAAAATTAAGTTGACAATCACTGTTTCTCAGGCACTAGCTCACACAGACTTTTCCCTCACTGACAGGCTCTTTCTCACTCTGTCAATCACTCTAATCACTCATCTCTCCAACTCTGATCTCAAAACTCTCCTCACACACCTTATATAACCCAGCTCCTCCCACTTCTGCACCACCCTCCGTCCTCTCATTGGCTGAGGTTCCCCTGCCCAGCTGTGACGGACAAGTGAGAGCAGAGCTGAACACCACAGTGGCCATCTTGTGTTCTACAGTGGGCAACCCCAAGAGGACACTGAGTGTTGACTCCCTGGGACTATTGCTGGGGTTCACTTGGAAATCAATAAGTTAAAGGGGGAGGGTAAGGAAATAGGTTTGTAAGGGAGAAAGCAAAAACCCCAAGAGGACACTGAGTGTTGACTCCCTGGGACTATTGCTGGGGTTCACTTGGAAATCAGTAAGTTAAAGGGGGGAGGGTAAGGAAATAGGATTACTGTATAAGGGAGAAAGCAAAGAAGGGTTTTGGTGAAATGGGTAAGTTTTTCAAACTTTTCTGTGGCTGTTTCTCTCAAAATATGCTCAAAATATGCATGGAAGGGAGGGGAGTCAAATGTGAGATGGGATTTCTTCTGTTTTTTCCTAGCAATTGTTATTGTAGGCAACTAACTTGAATAGAAATTTAACATTAACATTTAATTTTTTTTCCCCTTCCAACTTAAATTTCCGTGAATTAGATTTTTGGACTCAGTAGCAGTGAACTGTTAACCTTCTACTGTACCAACATTTCCATCTCAGATACACATGTAGTTACAATTTTTGGACTCAGTAGCAGTGAACTGTTAACATTCTACCAACATTAGCATCTCAGGTACACATGTAGTTACAGTAAGCATGGATAAATACAGATATTACACAATTATAATTCAGATCTGCTATCTTTGAGAAAAGAAAAGACACACCCCACTTCTTTCCCTCTTTACCCTCATTCTTTGAACTATACAGGAAGGAAGTGGAAGGGGGGACTTGAGTGAGTTCTGAAGAGGGCATAACTGAGAGCATTATGTGTTGAAAGATGATGTTTTGTGTGTGGAAAGTAATGATACAGTACTTTGCAGTGGGAGACACACACAGAATGTTTTGTGAAATTTATTTGAATGCAGCTACCAAAACGGAGCCCCATAAAATAATTTGGACACAGCTACCAAAATGGAGCACCATAAACCAGAACAGACATGTCCATAGAGGCTTCAGGGGGAACAAATGTACACACTTGGGTTCCTAAACTTTGTGACAATTGCTGACTTATCTCACTCCAGAATACTGCTGGGAAAATTCTAGCAAGAATGCTTCTGAACTGTTTCACAGGGCACCTGGGGAGAGGCCTCATACCAGAAACTCAGTGTGGTTTTGATGAGGAACAAGGGACGATTGACATGGCCTTTGCTATCTGATAGCATGACAACTTCTACACAACATTCATACTGTATATTAAAGCTTTTGATTCGGTATGCAGAGAAGGTCTATGGACAATCTTCAAGAAATTGGATATCCTGGGAAATGCACAAATATCAGTCAAGAATTCCAATTCTCGAAGGATGTGTGGCATCGTTCATATGCTGAGGTACGAAAACTCATGTCCTTGACAATAGCGCTTTCTCTGAACTCTTTCTTATTACAAACCGTGTGGAAACAAGTCTCTTCTCGCTCCAACTCTTTTCAGTTTTATGTTTTCTTCGATGCTCCGAGACACTTTACAGGGAAGAAAACAGTGGTATTGACCTTCAAGGTTGCAGTGATGGGAAAGTGTTCAACCTGCAGTGTCTGGAGGCTACAGCTAAAATTTGTTTTGCACTTTGTGTGAGCTCTTGTTTGCTGGTGATTCTAAATCCAACCCACACTTCTAGATATGCAAGGAAGTCTTGATCTTCTCTCCACCACCTGTAATAATTTCTGCCTGAAAATCAATATGGATAAGATGGTGGTGATGTACCAACAAAGGAAGAGTTTGAGAAGATTTTTACTAAGATTTTCTACTCTAGCTTGTACAGTCATGTGAAAGAGAAAATACACAATGGTTTTATGTATTAGGACATAATAAAAACCACCTGGTCCTAAGGAGGTCTGAAAATTAGGTAAACACAACCTCAGATGATGAATACATGACATATGACACCATGGCATTATTTCTTTTACAGAAATAAAGTAATGAAGAAGAAATAAAATGAATAAGCCCTTTGTGAAAAACTAAGTACACCTTATAATTTAGTAGCTTGTAGAACCACCTTTAGCAGCAATAACTTGAAGTATTTTTTTATGACTTTATTAGTCTTTCACATCGTTATGGAGTAATTTTGGGCCACTCTTTTTTTTTCAGCATTGCTTCAGTTCATTGAAGTTTGTGGGCATTTATTTATGCGGAGCTCTTGTAAGGTCCCGCCACAGCATTTCAATTGGGTTAAGATCTGGACTTTGACTCAGCCGTTACAACATATTGATTTTTTTCTTTTTAAGCCATTCTGTTATAGATTTGCTGGTGTGTTGGGGATCCTTGTCCTGTTGCATGACCCAATTTCAGCCAAGCTTTAGCTGTTGGAAAAGTGGCCTCACATTTGACTCTAGAATACTTTGGTATATAGAGACTTTCATGGTCAACTCAATGAGTGCAAGGTGCGCAGGTCCTGTGGCTACAAAATAAGCCAAAATAATCACTCCTCCACCACTGTGCTTGGCAGCTGGTATGAGGCATTTGTGAGGATATGTTGTGTTTGGTTTTTGTCAAAGGTGATGCTGTGTATTATGGCCACTTTGGTCTCGTCTGTTCAAAGGACATTGTTCCAGAAGTCTTATGGTTTGTCGAGATGTAACTTTGCAAACCTATGCCATGCTGCCGTGTTCTTTTTAGAGAGAAGAGAGTTTCTCCTGGCAACCCTTCCAAACAAAGCAGAGGGAATTGGTACATCCACTGGTGGCAAAATACAAATGGGAGACTGCCCACTGAACCATGTTGAGCCTGAGCTTTTTAGATACTAATAAAATCTGCATTGTCAACATTTTTATAGATCTTGAGACTCAGTCTCCCATTTGTACTTTTGCAACCCTTCCAAACAAACCATACTTCTTCAGTCTTTTTCTAATTCCACTGTCATGAATTTTAACATTTAACATGTTAACTGAGGCCTCTGGAGTCTGAGATGTAACATGAGTTTTTTGCAGTTTCTCTGCGAATACTGAGGCCTGTAGAGTCTGAGATGTAACATGAGATTTTTGCAGTTTCTCTGCGAACAGCATGGTCTGACATTAGGGTGAATTCCTAGGAATATTGGCAACTGTCTTGAATGTTTTCCACTTGTAATTAATCTTCTTCACTGTAGAATGATGGGCTTTAAATTGTTTACAAATGGCCTTATAACCCTTCCCATACTGATGGGCAGCAACAATTGCTTCTCTATGATCATTGCTGATGTGTTTTCTCCTTAGTACTGTATTGTGTTGACATGCACCTGAACACTCCAGACCAGCAAACTGCTACAGCTTGGTTTTTTATAGAAGTGGTCAATTACTCAAAGGCATTTGGTTAGCATTATCTGGCTAATATTTAACCTCTTAATTTCAATGAAAGCAATAGCAGTGTACTTAGTTTTTCACACATGACTTTATTTTTGTAAAAAATGACACAGTGTAATATTCTATGTACTGTATTGTTCATTTGAGGTTGTAATTACCAAATTTTCAGACCTGCTAAGGCCAGATGATTTTTATTATAGCCTGCTATGTAAGACCATAAAATTCTAAGAGGGTATATTTTCTTTTTCACATGACTGTATGTTCTCGGTCATTCATTGTTCAGTTTTTAAATAAGGGGATGCTTACAAAGATTGCCTCTGCTAAACGCTGGGAGGAGTGAGGAAGCAGACAGGCACCCTTTTCACTGGCCAACAGTTAACTGAAAGTTCAAATTTTGCACTTTCCCTGCCTCCCACGTGGTTTTTTTCAGTTCTTAACTCAAATCTAAGTATGTAAGTCAAGTCAATATTTTCCTATGAGAGTGGTTCTTAAGTCTAAATGTTCTTAACTTAAGCTGTTCTTAAGTCAAGACCCCACTGTAAGGGGATGCTTACAAAGATTGCCTCTATCTAGCTGAAATGGAGGACCACAGAGAAAACTGGTCTGCAAGGAAGTGACAGATACATGTCTTGTGAAAAGTATATGATCACAAGTTTCTATACTAATAATCTCCACAGGACATCCTCCCTTCCTAAATACCACAATTTCAAGTTTTAATTCCACATGACTAAAGCTTTTTAAAAAATATATAATCCTACCCATTCTGCTTTTCCTTTCTGCCTTGAACACATGGATAATCAACTTTGCTTCCTTCTTTTTAAGAAGCCGTGTAATATTGGGGAACATATCTTTTAAAGCAATTCTACAGTTTTTTAAAAATAATGTTTTATCAGCAATCCTCTTTTATCTTAATTGTTCAAGTAATATTTACGGTTTATTTTAAAAATGGCTTTTCATTCCACACATTTCCCACCCCATTGTCTTGTTGTAAGGCTGCCCTGAATACCTTGTTACCAAATCAGATGATCCTATACCAAAACCTCTTTCCCCTCAATCAAGTGTTGACCTCACCTTCTCCTTACCAGTTTCCTTACATTAATGGATTTCTCAGTTTTGTTACACAAACGACAGACTGAAACCACTTTATCTCGAAACCACAATTCCCCCTTTCCTTTCCTCTTCACAGGCCAACAACAATGGCAACTCCAGGGTGTTTGAAGTACTACAGGTATATTGCCTGCCGTGAGCACCGTTAATCACAGGCGACGAGGGTGAGCAACATGTGCTTGCAGGTCCTTTCCCCTTCTTTGCCACCCTAACCCAGTTTGTTGTTTGTCTTTTATTCTTTCTCCTACTAATGTCTCAGAGTGGGTTACTGAGACTGTAAATACCAGTTAATGAGAGGAAGTGTGGACTAATCTGAGAAACTTGAAGTTACTCTACTCTGTGAATCCCTCCACTTGTGTTGTATAGATAGAGGAATTTAATCAGAAATTCAACACTCTGCAACAGAAATAGCATTCATCTCTGTCTCACACACCACCACAATTTCCAGAGCAGGAAGACATCTGCACGACATCCTGCCACCCACTGACCCTGGCTGAGAAGGAAGTTTGTGGCTGTCCACCTCTGCAATAAGAAAGGTGCATTGGCACCAGCAGCATTCCTAGCTGTCATCTCCAAGGGCAAGTGGAAGAGGTGCCTGCCAAGGAAAGATTTTGGCAATCCTGGTGACCACGGCTTGCCATTTCCTCTTCCTTTACAGATGGCCACCTCTTCTTCTTTGTGGTTTCTGTGAATCAAAAATATGGGTTATTTCTCCACTTGTGTGAAACTCTATCAGAACACTCCAGAGCCTTAAAAGTCCATTAGATGGATTACCTGCGCTGTTCATTTTCTGTACACTCTATGGTAAATCCTCAGTTCCCTTTCAGCCGCTGCTGAGGAAACACCTCTTGGATCCTTTTGGAGCTTTTCCTAAAATAAATAAATAACTAAATAAATCTTACTTGTCTGTCTTCTCCCTGACCATCCTCATCGTTCTTTGTCATCGTTGTCCTTCATCTTATCATCTTAGCGTTGTTGCATTTTGTATTTTAAAAACAAAAGAAGAAAGAGTTATCTCATCTGTTCATTGTCCTAAGGCCTTATCAGGCCTGCTCTGTCTTCATTTAGCACATGGAGATGTAAATCAGCCACTATTCCTAAGGAAAAACAACAGCATGAAATTAGTCTTATCTCATACTCAGAAGCCTTAGATTCTGATGATGACTCCCCAGATGACTCTCCATCCATTCTGGTTACTACCCAAGAATTGGACATTGGGAACACAATCCACCCCATCTGAGGATTTTCAGTCTTATGCCAATCTCATATACTAGTTAATCAGATCCATTCAGCTGGATGTCCACAGACCACCACTTCCTTGAATGGATCTGGTATATGACAAATAAGAAAGAAACCACATCTGTACATAATGGAATTTTAGCATTTTTACTTGATCTGGTAGAAGAGTCCAGGGCTAAACCATCTTCCCTACCACCAATTTCCAGAAGGGTGGAGAAATTCAAGATAAGAATGCCACTTGCCTCTCCAAACACCCTCTACTGAATTTGATCATTGTGGAGCCCTCCTAGATGAGATCAAAGGGATGTCCCAACATGACCCCAGTAATAGGGAGACTGTAAGATTGACATTCAACTGCTACACTGAAAATAAGAGTGGCAAATGATTAGGCTGTGATGGGAACATACCACATATTTCTCTGGGACAGTATCCAGACGCTTTTGAATAACCTCCCAGAAGCATACTTTAGCCATGACCTTTCAACAAGACATCATGGCCCACACCACCTAGGAGATTCATGTAGCAAGATATGCTACAGACCACACAGCCAAAAATATGTTTGTTGCAGTTGCTCTCCATATGTCTGGCTACACTCTGCTGGTCTTTTGGAGGACTTGACCATGCATTGAGGACTTGGCACTTGATGGGGAGGGCCTCTTTAATGGAAAAAAAAATGACAACATAATGGATAGCCTGCATAAGACATGGGCTTCTATCCTCACTATCAGCAATGTCAGTTTTGTCCTTAATGGGAAGATTTATACTCTTACCAGTTCCCAAACCATCCTCCGACAGCCAAAGACCACCTATCACTTCCTCATCTCAATGCTACCAGACAGAAGAAAAGATTGTGCTCTTCCACCATATCAAAGAGACAGAAATCCAAGCAACATCTCTGACTTCTCTCCCCACAAGATCTGCATCCTTTTGCCTTCCCCCTCTCATACTCACAGCTCATCTTTAACAGTTCATCTCACCACTTAGTGCACTCTCACCAACGACAATTAGGTCTTGACCATCATGCAATTTGACTATGTAATAGAGTTCACTTCCCTTTCACCTACTGACCTTTTCAGACCTAGAACACTATTTCAAGTGCTAGAAATAGCTATACTCCTCCAGAAGGACACTGTCCAAAGGATTCTATTGGAGTTGATGGACAATGGCTTCTATTCCTGTTACTTTATGGTCCCAAGAAGATCAAAAAGGTTTAAGAATTAAGACTTGAGGGATGCAAGCTCATACTTAGAGAGAGAGAAATTCAGAATGGTGATACTGGAAACAGTACTATCACTTATCTAAAAAGGGAACTGGTTTGCTGTGTAAGACCTCAAAAATGCTTACTTTCACATAACCATTGAACCTGAGTGTAGTGTTCACCCTTTGTGAGGTAATAAGGCATGTATTATTCATGTTCTATGCTAATGTGGTTGAAAGGCGGAGCCAAGAGAGATGTTAAAATGCAGAGCCTGAGAAGAGAAGAGGGTCAGAGGAGTCTGTGTTAGGAATCTGAGAGAAGGATAGTTTGGGGTCTGAGGAGTGATTAGTAACCTGTGATATTTAATATAGAAGATTAATATTGATGCTTGCTGAAACTGAAAGAATATGCTTATAAATTATCCTAGAAACCATCTGTAATCAATAAACCTGTTTTACTAATAAGTCAGTACTGAATGGACCTTCATCTTTACTAAGTAAAGTACGTTGATAAGGAGATCAACTGGTGGCAGTGTGTGAAGAGGTTTTGGTTTGCCTATGTGAACTTTGTGTTTGGGGAGACGAGCAGGGGCTACGAGGCTAAATCTAACAATTGGTGTCCAGTGGTGGGATACGAAAGAATCCAGTAACGCCAGAGACAAAAGTGAATTTTTTTGAGTCAAGGGTACCCTTTAGTCAGAGGTCTGTAGTGAAGAAGTGGGTGACCTGCTAGAGCTTTTGTGGAAAAGCTTAGTGGTGGGGATTCTGATCCCAGATCGGGGGGGGGGGATTAAAGATAGGGAATGACTCTGTAGGAAAAATTTCTGTTTATTTACCTCAGGATTTGGAAGACTAGTGGACTAGCTTAAAATCCAAGGCTCTGAGAGAAGGGAGCGCTGGTGGATAAAAGCGGAAGCCATAAGTCAGAGCAGATCTGAGGAGATAGAAGAATCAAAGCAGAGGCTTGAGATATAAAATTATTTCAGTGACTGGAATTAAAAGCAGAAAGACAGGTTCTTCTTAAAATCAGTACAAACACTCAAGACTAAGTAACTCGGGCATAAATATGCTGCCCACATAGCCAAAAGGGGAGTTGTGAGGCAGAGAGTTTACCTCAAGAAATGGAGGGAAATGGAACAGTAACTCCAACAGAAATGGAACTTTAGTTCCAATGGAACAGGTGGAGACTAATTAGGGTGCCTCAGAAAGACAAAGGGATCTAGGCTCCCAAGATTTTGAGAAATGGAAATTACAACAAGAATTTAAATTGAAGGACTAGCTATGAAAACCCAGTTAGAGGAGCTAGCTATGAAAAACCAATTAGAATTGGAGAAAGAAAAAGCCATAGCTGAAGAGAAAGCTAGGGAGCTAGAGATGACAGAAAAACCTGAACAAGAAAAAAGACAAATGGAATTTCAAATAGAAATGAAAAGAATGGAAATCACTGCTCAAAACAATAATAGTAATAACAGCCCTAGTGAGGGAAATCTCTCAAAGATCGATCTAAAGAAATTTCCCCAATATAGAAAAGGTGACTGCCCAGAATCTTTCCTCATTTCATTTGAGAGAGTCTGTTGGGATTCGCGAAGGCTTTCACCGCCGGGATCGAATGGTTGTTGTGTATTTTTTGGGCTCTTTGGCTGTGTTCTGAAGGTTGTTCTTCCTAACGTTTCACCAGTCTCTGTGGCCGGCATCTTCAGAGGATAGGAGTAGCACTCTGTGCTCTGGTGCAGTTTATTTGGGAGTTGAGTATTTATGGCTGTGAGATCTGCTTTTGTCCTTTTTCAGGAGATGGGTGATTATAGTGATCAGTGTGTTTTTGTTGTGGGTGTATTGTTGTGATAAGGAGAAGAGATTATCTGTCACTGTGATTGATGGGTGTCGTTAGCTGGTCTTTTGTGTGTAGTGATCCCCTGTCCTTGTGGGTGGGTACAGTTCACTGACCTTTTGCACACTGTATTTTTTAGTGGTGGGAGCCAAGTTTTGTTGAGTTTTAAACTTTCTTCTTTTTTGTTGAAGTTCTGCTGATGTTTCTGGATTTCAATGGCTTCCCTGTGCAGTCTAACGTGATGATTGCTGGTGTTGTCCAGTATTTCAGTATTTTGAAATAGAATTTCATGTCCAGCTTGTTTTAGGGCATGTTCAGCTACTGCCGATTTTTCTGGTTGTTTTAGTCTGCACAGTCTCTCGTGTTCTTTGATTCTGGTGTGGATGCTTCATTTTGTGGTTCCAATATATACCTGGCCACAACTGCAAGGTATCCAATATACTCCTGTAGTGGTGAGGGGGTCCCTCTGACCGTAACATTTGTTGTATTTTTGTGGTAGGCTTGAATACTGTTTATAGGTTGTGTTTTTTCAAAAGTTTCTCCATGCAGTCCATGACCCCTTTGATGTATGGCAGAAATATTTTATTTGTGGGTGTATATAACCATTGAACCTGAGTGTAGTGTTCACCCTTTGTGAGGTAATAAGTCATGTATTATTCATGTTCTATGCTAATGTGGTTGAGAGGCGGAGCTGAGAGAGAGGTTAAAAGGCGGAGTCTGAGAGGAGGAGTCAGTCAGAGAGAGACAGAGAGTCAGAAGAGATAGAGATAGAGACTGGTTAAGATAATTAGATAGAAAAGGTGGAAATTATATGGCAGGAGAATAGTATGTACATCACTTCAGTGATTAATAAATTGGCTTCACTTTAATAAATAAGTTTTGTTGGCATTCACAATACAAGTGTCTGATCAAACGTCATTTATTTTGTGGATTGAGGTAATCCACTGGTGGCAGTGAAAAGAAAACACGACTGGAGCCTTTGTGAGGGCACTAAACGTAGGTGCATCAAGGAGGTGAACGTCACAGCAGGTGACCTGGTTCAGTTGATTCCGGGTAGCTAGATTTCCTTTCTGATTTCCTTTCTTACGGCTCTTGATCTTTAGGCTTGACAAGGACTGGATAGTCCTTGAAGGATAATCCTTGGTGAAATAAGACTGATGGCTAATCTGCAGGTGGTACAGAGGATTCCTTTCCCTTTTATGGTAAGACCTCTTTGTGCTATTGTTTATGACATGACTAGGGAAGCTTAAACTCGTGGAATTGTCCATAATTTAGCCCATGGAAATTAACAGGGACTAGATTCATCCAATCCTAATTTCCAGACTGAAGTGAACAGATTGAAATCAAATATCCAGATTTGATTCCGGAGCAAGGCAAAGCAAATTGGCCAAATTAATTTGTGTTTCTCCACTATTAATTAATTAATTAATTAATTATCTCCACTGTTTAATTAAGTTTCTCCAATATTTTCATTATTAAAGAAAACAATATGTAAATGCGCAAAAAGCACAAACCCCTGAAATTGTGGGTTTACTTCCATCTTTAATATCTGCCCGGTCTCCAAATTTCATGGACAACATTATAAAGCCAACTGAGTTTATAGCCATGTTGGTTTTCCAATACAAGTCAACAGGAAACTGATAAAACGACTTGGATCTGGGCCACACGTCAAATCAGATGTGGCACAAATCGCTCCAGAACAAATCTGGATAAGTTCCAGAACAAACAGAAAACATTCCAAAAAATTGGCCTCCGAATTAAATGCACAGCCTAGAAATTAAGCATATCAGAGAGCACTTCTGTTCATCTGATTTCACCTCCATTTTTTGGCTATATAAAACACATCTTTCTAGCTAGATTTTTTTTTCTGTATGCTTTTCTTGGACCCTGTTATATTTTACAGAACACAGCATAACTATAAAGAAACAATTTTTTTACAAAGTCTAACAACAACAACAAACAAGTACACCATGCTTCAGAATTATTGTCCGATAATAACTGGGACAAGTAACGTGGTCTTGGATATACTGTTTATAGGTTGTGTTTTTTCAAAAGTTTCTCCATGCAGTCCATGACCCCTTTGATGTATGGCAGAAATATTTTATTTGTGGGTGTATATAACCATTGAACCTGAGTGTAGTGTTCACCCTTTGTGAGGTAATAAGTCATGTATTATTCATGTTCTATGCTAATGTGGTTGAGAGGCGGAGCTGAGAGAGATGTTAAAAGGCGGAGCATGAGGAGAGAAGAGGGTCAAAGTAGTCTGTGTTAGGCACTTGGCATCCTTTGATATTCAGAGAGAAACTAGCTTGAAAAGATTGATTGTCACTCAGGAATTTGCACACCAACTCTGATGGCGAACAAAACATCTTCAACTCACCATGGGCCACCCGTTCAGACATTTCTGGCCTCTAATTAAAATCACAACCGATGCCAGCCTTAGGACTTGAGGAGCTCAGTGCCAAAATCAACAGATTCATTGTCTGAGGAAGAAGGACCATTTAAACAAACTAGAGATGCTGGCCATCATAAAAGTCTTCAAAGTATTCAAGACTGTGATCAAAGGCAAAGTAGTACAAGTGGCTAAAGACAACAACACCTTGTGATGTACTATGTGAACAGATACGGTGGAATACATTCCATGACTCTTCTATACCTTGCTATTCAACTATGGAAATGGTGCATTCAGTGTCTCACTTTTCCAATGGCCATTCATGTAGCAGGAGAGGACAATTAGGTAGCCAATCATCTAAGCAGATGCAAGGCCCCTATACGAAAGTGGGAATTGGCCCACAATACATTCAAGGAAATATGACACTGTTGGGGTCACCCAGAGGTGCATATGTTGACAACCAGGGAGAACAGGAAGTGCAGGAAATACTGCTCCTGGGCAGGTTGAGTGAAGCAATCCCTAGGAACACGTGATTGCAGAGCCTTCTCTACCACTTTCCTCTGATTCCACTGCTTCACAAAGTTGTAATAAGGTTCCAGCAAGAGAGATCCAATGCCATCCTGGATGCCCCATGGTGGCCATGTCAACTCTGGTTTGCAATGCTAAAGCTCATGGCAGCACACTTTTATTAGTTTCCAGTCAAAGCAAGGGTTGGGTTCATCATCCACATCTGGTCAGACTGAAACTTACAGCATGGAGAATTCTCCAATGAGAAAGCATGGTCTCCAAGCCAGGGCATCCTCCATTATACAAAATTATACATGCAAGTGGGGAAACTCTGAAGGAGTTCCCTGTTTGTTCGTTCGTTTGTTCAGTCGTTTAGTCGTGTCTGACTCTTCGTGACCCCATGGACCAGAGCACGCCAGGCCCTCCTATCTTCCACCGCCTCCCGGAGTTGTGTCAAA